ATATACTTAATAATAATTACATTCATTTTTATAAAATAATAGTCATTGTAAATTTAGTAAAACATTTATTGTCCACCAAGGGTTGAGGTTGTAACTCCCCTGGACTCTCTCGTTATCAGGTTATAGTGTGCACACATATCTGGAGAGGTTTATTTCATTTATTTGATAATTGTAACGTTATATTATTATATTTCATTTTATATTATATATTTAACTATTGCATAATCTTAGTCAACATTTCACATAAATAGGTACATTTGGGAAAGGGGAAACTGTTTTATCATTGTATTTAGGGTTTTACTGTAAATATAGATTAGTTAATTGTACATAAGAGGTGTTGGGTTATATTGTTAAATATAAGGGGTTAAATAATTTGTACATAAAATAGGTCTTTATTAAAGTTGGGTTAAAACAATTTAAGATTTCACTTGGTACCTATCCTTTAATATTTCAGCAATACAAGATATCTCGGAAGAAACCATTTAACTTCCTGGCGCCCAAATATTCATTAGAGCAACTTTATCTTTCTTCTGTTTATTTCTTGGTAGTTTCTAGTCATTAATTCTTACATCTTACGGTCTCTGTAGGGCATGCAAATTGGCCGAATCCCTCTTTGATTGTCAAGTGGTCATTCTCCTGCATAGTCGCTAGCCAGCATTAATTTTATTATATTTTAAAATTCATATTTACCCTTGATTTATTTCTTTCACATAATTTATTTCTATCTACTCCCTTTCATTTTCTGTTATTCCACATATTAGTTCGTTGGTGTATCAAGGTACATTTTAGAGTTTACCCTATTGCTACACTACACATTCTTGTTATATTGGCGCTCCAGCCCATCCAAATTTTGTTACAAAGTTTTTGTTTCTTTGAAAAAAAAGTGTATATTCAGATATACATTGTGCATATATTATTAAAAAGAATTATTCTATACCTTAGACAATACAGATTTTTCATAGACGGTTCTTACGATAATATAAAGAAAAGCAGGCACAATATCTACAAATAATCTACTAATTATAAAAAATATTAAAACTATTGATGAAAATGTAGGAAACAGTTTCTGTCTGGAACAAAACATAGAAAACAGTTACATTTAGTGCATTATACTTTTGTTATTTTTTGGCATTTTTTATTCTTACATCTTCCTGTCTTTTTTTCATAGTGGGGCCAATGGTCCATTCTATCAGCAACACAGTCTGCGTTTGCGGAGACACAAGTTTTAATTTTTTGTTGTCCAATGATGGTGTACTGCCGGATGGGCGACCTCTTTTTGCTAACTTACTAGCCCAACATAAACTCTGAGCAACATCTGCCTTTAAGTCATAAAGACAGCTGTTGTTTTGCAATTATGACGCTCATGTCCATTAGATGAAAAAATATTCTAAGATAATATTTTATGGACCGATTCTTTGTTCGGTAAAGTGCCAAGAGAGAATCTATCAAATCCACTTCCCCCATAAATTTATTATATAAAATAATAATACTGGGGCATTTTATTGTTATACTTTTCTTTTTTACGGTCGAACCTCTGGACAGTCGTTTCAGGAGAAGCACTGGCAAATGTACTTAGCAATGTCACTACCTTATTGTCATACCATTTGACTACTATGAGTGTTGTGCTGTTACGAACAGCAACCTTTTTCACACAACTTTCTCGACCTTGCTTCATTAGCACTTTATCTGCTGGCAGCTTGTTTTCGGGAACCCTGTTTGTACGAACTATACCCAAACTCTGGCTGGATGCCATTTTCAGATAATTTTATTTGAAACTCAGGACTGCAAAACCAATTGTCATAAAATAGCAAAAAGTTTTGGTTTTTTGGTATGCGTTCAGCTAAGCGAATAACAACATTACTGCTGGCACTTATATTTGGTAAATCATCTGGTTGCTTCTGAGCTCCACAATAAACCTCAAAATCATACACTATGCCGCTCGCACCTGCAAGACAAAATAATTTGTAACCCCATTTCTTTGGCTTTTTGGGATTATATTGCTTTAGTCCGCAATAGGGAACGAATAAACGTCCTTTATAGGGAATAATTTGCTCGTCGACAGATAAATGTTGCTCTATTGGTATGGACTTCATATTGTGCCTTATAATTTTAATCACGTTTCTTATTTTGAACAAACGATCTGGCGGATTTGATGGTAGTTGATGATTATCAGCAAAATGTAAATTTTTTTTTATTTGCTCAAATCTTCGTAACGGCATTACATTAGCGACTTGAGAAATTCTACAAGCTTTACTTCAACAACTTCTAGTACCTGGTACCGATATTAGTGACATATAGAAACATGCTCCTAAAAACTGTTCCAGATCTTTTGAATCCATAGAAAAGTTTCCAGATATATCTGTTTGTGTAGCATACAAATTTGATTGCTCCACTATATAATCTAACAAAGCTTTATCAACTAATTTATAAAAATATTGGACGGGAGTTTTCAATTCTGTTTCATCATGTAGGTGGGCACCCCAATGAGGCGTTTGAGCTGTCTCATTCTTTGAATTTGTCCATTTCAAAACTATTTTCTTTTTTCCATAATTTGAACAAATGAGAATTTGATTATTTGTTAGGTCTGATAGAGATAGCGGTCGGTCTTCATCATCAGAAGAATCCGCTTGCTGACCCAATTGCTCACCTTCGACTGTTTCATCATCACTACTAGATGAATCTAGAAACAAGAACTTACTAAAAAAAAGTTGCAATATGCAGGAAAAAATCTTACCTTGTAACATATCTGGTAGATAAGTTTCATCTGTTATGCTATCATCGCTGCTATAATCAAGATCACTGTCAATATCTGGTAAAAGTATATTTGTTTTCTTTTGTTTGCCATAAAAACGTGTTGGATCCATGATCAAAATAAAAATACCGAAAGTACCGAAAAATGCAGCCACTATTGCACAGTGTATATTTGAATATACAGTTGTAAAATATGCACTACTTCTTCTCACGAGTCGAAGATTGAAACACAAAACACACCTTGCTATTCAAAAGACTTAACAAGACTAAATACTAAATTTTAGTTCTATTTTTACCTGCGTAAAAGCCCACAAATAATTCGCTGAAGTGGGCGCTTCTCCTATCAACGTCATTAGACAACCTCCTCATTGTTGCCATTTTTTTATCGCTGTTATTTGGAATTTCTATAGAAAACCTACATAATACAGTTGCTGCGACATGTATTTTAGAATATACAATGACCAATTTTGTTAAGCTCGATATAAAGCAATATAGACCAGAGATAATATTTGTATATTTAAATATACATGGTACCATAGAAGGTTAATTCATTGTAGAATACTTCTCGATATTGTCCCTTGGTGGCTTGTATCTCTGGTGCATATTTATTATCATGTAACCACTCTTTATAAAAATGATATAATTTGAGAAACGTTAAAGATTCATCAAAATATTGTGTACAGCTACGAGCCCTTACGTAATGTGACTCTACAGCTGGTATACTCTGAGCAATATGTGTCCACACACTTTGTTTATTAACCTCAGATACTTTGTTTAAGCGGCTTTCCTGACGGCCTCGTTGATCAGCTAGTGAAACACAATCGGTTACTTCCATATCAATCTTTTTATAGTGTTAACCCACTTATCTTTAATATCTAGAGTATCGAAAAACATGTTCTTACATACCTGAATTTTATCACCGTTTACCATAAATGAATATTTATATGACCAGAGGAGCCTTGAAGTTGCAAGTGTTGCAAGTACTGCTTGTTCCTTAGGTATTCTTTCAACACAGTTATTTATATAGTGTACTTGATGACTATGATTCCTAAGAGCCCAAAATTGTGAAAAAATTTGGTTTCTTATTTCTAAAGATAACTTTTGAATACTTTTTTGGAACAGTTCTGTGTACACCCTTGTTTCATTTGTTTTTCTCGGATTTGTTGACCTCGTTGATTCGTCAATGCAAATCATATTTTTGTTTTCTTTTATTTAAGTTGCATTTCCAATTGTTGGTATTGCATGTCCTCTTACGACCAGAAGTACATTTTCCCGGCATATCTTTTTTTTTATGCGAAATATCATTATGTTCTATATCAGTAGCACTATATTGGGTTTGTATATTTAGGTTTATTTTTGGTTCAACGTCATCTATTTCTTGTAGATTATTTTCTTCTGGTCCATCCGGATAGCTACTACTTACAACAAAATTATTTTTTGCATATCTTCCTTAAGAGCACAGAGTAACAATAGAAGCAGAAATTAACAATTGGTAACAAAAGGAAATTGTTGTCGTCTATTAACAAGATTGACTTTGGGGATACACCGTATGTTTGATTACTTTATAAATTAAACATACTTGCAACAAAGCTGTAACTTCTTTAGCAACCTTATTAATCGTCAAATATATAGAAACTAAAAATTTGACATAGGGAGTAACAATGTTACTGCTTTTTTTACGTTAAAATGAAACACGTAACTTAAAGTACAACTTTTTTCAACGGAGCATTAGCGAAACTATTGAGAATTAAGCTATGTGGTTTATATTGACGTGTACGCAATTTTTCACTGAATTCGCCTGTGTTGAAATTTGAAATTAGGTCTAACTTGAGTTACAACCTTGTTCGATGGGGGTGTCGAATTATTATATGCTGAGGAAAATAATAAAGTTAAATAACACTAACTACTTTTAAACGCTGGATTTTAGTTTACATTTTAAAAAAATTTTATCTGTAATAATAATTAATAATAGAGCACAAACAAATGGTTTGATTTACACATGTACGGTGTTATGAATGATAGTTATATATAATTATACCTGTGTAATAGGAAATTCCTCTAATCCCATATTAAAATCTATCATCAACACACAAAAAGATTAAAAATTGATCTTATCTTCTGAAATAAATGTGTACCAAATGTTCTTCTTAATGGATTAGCAAAAATTTAGATAGGCATGCAAAATATTGTTTGCTTTCTAAGAGATATATATATAAAAGTAATTTTATACGATTTACTGTTTACTAACACTAATATTTCTGATAGTTATCAAACAAAAATTAATATGAAAGTTACCGTTACGTTGGTGGTACTTAACTTTTATTTTGTTTTAAGTAGTAAGTAAATTTCTGTAATAATATTTTACACCGTAATAATTCGTGCTTTTTATATGAGATTTTTCATTAGGCTCTAAAAATGTTTCGAATATGTTTAATTATAATTATTTTTTCTATTTTAATGATTCTTATGAGACCAATAACATATATCACTTTCAAAGATAGATCATTTGGCAACAAATATGAAGCTTTTGAAATAAACCTAAAAAACCCCGAATATTAAATTTCACGTTAAAAACGCTCTAAAACTGCTATTATTGATTGCATTGCATTTGAAACTTCAAAATATGAGTTACAAATTCCACTCAATATCACCTTCGTGGAGGCCTTTCCCTGACGTTTGATTATTGGACGTCAAAAAATTAAATTCTGTGTTTTTTAATGCCTCATATTTGTTGCAAAAACTAAAAATCCACATTTTGCGTTATAGTTTCAAATATCTGGCTCTAATATTTGAAATTTCTTTACGGCCGGTCAATGATGGTGATAATATGTTTTATTGATCTCATAAAAATCATAAAAAATGGCCAAAATCGCCCAAATCTTATTTACCTCCTTTATAAAATCTGACTTTATTTGCGACAGAACGTAAATATCCACATTCTTTACCTTTACACCACACTTTCATTTTTGTTGATAGGACTCTCTGATCAAAAGATATCGAATTTCTACCGACGAGTTGATACAAATTTGATTTGAAAGCGTTGTTTCTAAAAAAACAGTTCATTCTACACAAGAATTGAAAAGTGCTTATAAACCATTTTTATGTAAAATATTATTTAGATTAATTGATGGATTCGACTGTTACTTGATGTAAATTCATTTTATGTAACAATAAAATACTAAAAAGTTTGTTTTTAAACTTCCACAAAAGTTTTATTTTATCTCTTATCACTATAGCTGTTTTGGCTGATTGCCTTTCTCAAGTGATCTATTTCAAGCAATTTGATTGAACCCAGCCTATGAGAAATGTTCACCCAGGTATTACGATCGGGTGTAACAATTCATTGGAGCAAGGTGTTTTAATTCGTTTTTAAAAACAGGAATCACCCCACCGTGCTCCAATGCTCTAGACCATCCCTTTCCCCCCTATAGCAATCTGATTCGCTATAGAGGCACAACAATCAGCCAAGTGCTCTTCATGTGGAGGTCCTGGGTAATTGAACCCCAACATGGTTTCCTAACCGTATGTGAAAACTCAGGACAGCGCATCTCCGCTTTATTCCTGTTTATCTTAATAAGTGATCTATTTTTAGCATGCGTTTACACTTTATAGTCTCCAATGAAATAGGTTTAGGAGGGGGGAACTGTTTGTCTCAAGTTGGTCATTCAGAATTATATCTGTGTTTTTTAATTTGTTGATTTCCATATATTCTAACAAGGATAGCTTAAGGCCTTTATTTTGAATGTGAAGAATTTTAAATTCGTCGTTAAAAGAATGATTGTGATCTAGAAGGTGAACTGCGTGTGTCTTCTTCTTCATGTACCATGTCCTTTCAGAACGTTGGTTACCATCATAGCTATTTTAATTTTATTCACTGCCACCCTAAATAGCATGCTTGTATCTTCACCATACCAGTCTTGCAAGTTCTTCAACCTTGAGGTTCTTCTTCGTCCTGGACTGCGTTTGCCTGCTATTTTTCCTTGCATGATGTTTTGTAGCAATCTATATTTGGGACCTCTCATTACATGTCCGAAATATTCCAGCTTTCTCTGCTTGATGCTTATGATCCCAGTAGTCTTGCTGAGACGTTCTAGTATTGTGGAGTTACGAATCTTCTCCACGCAGGAAACTTTTAAAATTCTTCTATAGCACCACATTTCGAAAGCCTCAAGGCGATTTAGATCGATTTTATTCACAGTCTAGGACTCGACAGCATAAAGTAAGACCGAGAACACGTAGCAGCGAAGTAGGCGGATCCTTAATGCCAATTTTAGGTCTCTGTTACATAACACCTTGGACATCCTTCTAAAAGCAGCTCTAGCCTGCTCTATTCTGGATCTAATTTCGCCGTAATTTTCTGCATTACAATTTAATTGCTGTCCAAGGTAGACGATTTTATCAACTTGCTCAAGTTTAATATTATTTACATATATAGACGGTACTGTATACTGCGTGTGTAGAATCTGTTTTTCTATTATTGAAAGCCCTTTTATTTTCTGCTATTCGTTTGTTAGTTTCTACCAGTTTGACCGATGTAAGTTTTTGGGCAGTCGCCACATTTAAGTTTGTACACACCACTGTGTAAGTGTTTTTTATTTTGGCTCTTGTTGTTTTTGATATATTTGCCTAGGTTGTTATTTGTTCGGAAAACGGGTGTTATTCCATTCTTTTTTATGTGTTTAGCTATTTTTGTTGTAATTTTGGTTGTATATGTAATATGTAATCGAACAGAAGGTACTTGGTTTTTTCTTTGGTGGTGGAAATACTAATTTCAGGGCTTTCTTGTGTAGTTTTTAATTTCACATTTTATCCTTTTGTTCGATTACATATACATGCAAAATTACAACAAAAATAGCCAAACACATAAAAAAAGAAGAGAATCACACCAGATTTCCGAACAAATAACAACCTAGGCAAATATATCAAAAGCAACAAGAGCCAAAATAAAAAACACTTACACAGTGGTATTGTCAAACTTAAATGTGGCGACTGCCCAAAAACTTATATCGGTCAAACTGGTAGAAACTTTAACAAACGAATAGCAGAATATGAAAGGGCTTTCAATAATAGAAAAACAGATTCTACACACGCACTTCACCTTCTAGGTCAAAATCGTTCTTTTAACGACGAATTTAAAATTCTTCACAATCAAAATAAAGGCCTTAAGCTATCCTTGTTAGAATCTAAGGAAATCAACAAATTAAAAAACACAGATATAATTCTGAATGACCAACTTGAGACAAACAGTTCTCCCCTCCTCAACCTAGTTTATTAGAGACTATAAGGTGTAAACGCATGCCAAAAATAGATCACTTGAAAAAGGCAATCAGCCGAAACAGCTGTAGTGATAAGAGTTCAAATAAAATTTTGTGGAAGTTTGCAAACAAAGTTTTCAGTATTTTATTGTTACATTATTTAGATTCTTGGCAAATTGATCTATCTACCCAAATAAGGTATCGTAGGGAATAGGTTGGGGAATAGGGAACTGGAAAGTAGTAACTTTTCATTTTTAGTTTGTTTTTGCGGTCTTATAATTGACATTCTTATCAAAGAGTTCAAATCTTTGACGATTGGACTTTACATGGCACAGACAAAGGAAATATTTAATATAAAAAATATTATATAATATACGCAAATATTTATAATTTTTATTCTAAAGATGAAAATATATTTACCCACATGATAAATTATTGGAAGAAACCTCGCATTCAATATTGACATTTGAATAGATTACATTATCTCTTAAGTATATGCCAATCTAGAAAAAATACAGTTCGATATTATCAAAACGCAAAAAAAATTTGAGATAAGGTATATAAATTCAATAAAAAGATAAGATGATTTTATCTTTTAAAATTTATTATAAGATATCTTCATCACTTGTAATATGGTTGTCTGTAGGCAAAGAGGTAACATATGTGTAAAATTTAAGCAAATATGCAATCTCTTATATTAACCCTACAGTAGATGCGTCTAATTTGATAACTTTAGTAGACGCGCACGGACTGAGAGTCCGATAACAAAAAACTACTCCCGCTAGTTGTACAACCGTTTTATATTACTAAAGTTATAAAAAAAACTTAAACTTATACATGTGATTTACAAAAATTGTAACGACTTTTTTGCTTACCTCAGGTTAAGGACATGAGGTAGAAGATTTGGCAAACAAAATAATGTTGGTTGTTGGAGAGCTGGGTCGTGGATAAGTTGAAGATATGGGGGTTGGATTAGGACAACTACAAAAAATGAAATAAAGGAGTCATTAATCTCTTGGAACAAACAAAATAAAAATAAACAGAAAACACCTCAAGGAATTAATATAGGGCGCCACTTGAGGTGCCTAATTATACCTATTACAACCACTATTACAACCAGAAACATATGTTTTTCAAATAAAACTCAAAATGGATCAGAGAAACAAATTAAACGTTTATTTTTCTCTCAAACGAACAGTTATCAAAATTACAGATTACAAAAAAAAAATATATTATATAACATAATACGAAATAACAAAAACTAACATGTTCTTTGTTTACATAAAAGATTGCTACAAAAATTTTAAACTGGTTCCTAGGTTATAAATGTGGCCAATTTAGATTATCAAAATTTTATGGACATCATTTTATGAAAATATTATTGAATTTAACGTTATATGAAATATCTTTTATATATGAAAATCAAATTGAAATTGTTTTACAAAAACAATGGATTACAGCAAATGTCATATGTCAACTTAACATTTTAAATCAGAATAAAATATGACATTTTTTAGCTACGACAAAAATAATATAAAATTTTAATTATTACAAATTTTTTTATTTTAATGAAAGCAAAAATTAAAAATGTCTATATTGAATTTAAAATTTAAACACAAAAGTTACCTTTAAATTTCACTAAATTTCACTTGGCATGTCTGGGGTCGGGAACTGGATCTATTGGACTTGAAAATTTCTGGGAAAACTGGACTGGCAATCTCTGCACACGAACAAAAGGACTGCTTCAAGACATGGAGGATTAAAATGGGCAGCACTAGATACAAACTTCAGACTAGACTTTAAAAAAAAACAGGAAACTGGAATATCAGAATTGCTGCAAGCGACAACAAATCTCTTAAATACCTTGCAAAATGGTAGTAATTACTCTTTCCTGAACTGTCACATTACAGAAAATAAATTTCACTACATTCAACAAATTGCAGGTATTTTTTTGTCAAAACTACATAATGACTGTTGCCTTCGACCAAATCTTTCAACCTTCCTATTTCGTTACTCTTCTCAACCTCCTCTACCTTCGTTCGATTTCAAACCAAAAACGCAAAATAATTCCCCTCCTCACC